TTTCCATATCTGTATAATGGGTCAAACGTATGTACATGAACTAGGTTGGACCTTTGCCTTAATATGGCTGCTTAGATGATCAGCCCTGCAAAGGATGTTCCATTGGCAGTCTGCTGGCAACTTAGAGTGGATGCTACCAGCGAGGTTCCAAACCAGAATGAGAAAGTCTAACACTGAGTGGAGCCTGCAGACCTGTTAGTGGAGGCCACAGAATGACCCAGGGTGGCCCAGGAAGTGAGAATGGTCCTGCGGATTGACAGTGAAGAGAGCCTCTAAATTAATCACAAGTGACTCTGCCCTGGAGAAAAAAGCCAGAAAGAAGAGCAGAGCAAAACCAGAGACCCAGAGCAGGGACTGGAGGAGGAGGCCAATGGGGGTGGCAGTGGGTGCCAGAAGCCGGGCTTGGGCTCGCTTCCTCATCAGCTATTAGGGAGGCTTCTGTTTTGGTCATCACCACTGCGGTACCTCCTGAGCTAGGAGACTGAGCAGTGGGTTGCCTTGTCCATGTCTCAGAGCTGGGAAGCGGGCGGCGATGAGCTCATAGCTGAGGGTCTGCCATGATGACATGGCCGTAGGGCTAAGGCATTTGGGTGTGTCTCCTCACTTTGCTCACCCGGGGGGTCATTGGGTAGTGTGGTTCTGGATGTTTCTTGAGTTCTAGGAAGTTTATAAAGCATTATTGTGCTGGAAGTGGTCCTCCTCCTCTGAACTAGATGCTGTTTTCCCGCAGGGGGAAGAGTGGGATGAACCTGGACTTCACTCACCAGGACCATCTGAGACTGGAATCTAGATGGCATGTGTCCTTGGGCCAGATACTCAACCTCCCTGCACACCCATTTCCCCACCTGCACAATGGGAATAAATATCGATTTCTCTGGACTGCAGGAAGAACTCCACAAGCTCCTCTGCCTAGAGTGTCCCATGTGGTACCCAGCACACAGTGGTTTGAGAACTTATTCCCACTTGCCAGAAATCAGTCTGTCCTTCATCCTGCTTCCACCCGATGGCCATCCCACTGACCTCTGGGGTAGGGGTGGGGAGTAGTTTCCTCTCATTTTGCTTTAGGTTCCTTTCTTCCATATGTTCTCCAGAATGAAGTGAATCTCTTCCTCTTCAGAGTATCTCACAATGTAGCACTTCTCCAAATCCACTTCAAGTTATAATGATTTTACTTAAGGGCCACCTCCTCTCCCTAGACAGGAAACCCCTGTTGGGAACTGTGGTATAAGAAAGAATATATCTGGGTTTTATCCCTAGTTCCAGGCACAGAGCTTCAAAACCCCTGGAATTTCCCGAGTGGCAGGAGTGTCTTTGTTATGCTAATGAGGTGACAGTCGGGGTGGGGCTCCATGCTTCTGGATGCCAGGTGCCCCTCTTGGTGCTTATTTTTATGAAAACATCTTCATTTCATTCTTGTTCTTGAAAAATAATTTCTTGAAAAATAATTTCAGGTTGACATTTTCCCCCGCCAGCACTTTGAAGATATTTCTCCACTGTTCTCTGGTTTTTACTATTGTTTTAGAGAAATTTACTCTCAGTCTCATTGTACGGCCAGTTTCTACAAGTGGCCTATCTTTTCTCTCAGGCAACTTTTCAGATCTCTTTGTCTTTGGTTTTGTGTGGTTTTACTGTGTGCGTAGGTGTGGCTTTTGTTAGTCTTTGCTTGGTATAGTTTGTACCTCTTAGCTCTGTGGATTCATGTCTTTCATCACTCCTAGAATTGTCTCAATCATTGTTTTCAAATATTGCTTCTCTTCCATTCTTATTAGTCTCTCCTCATGGAACTCCTATTAGCCATATGTTAGAATATCTCATTTTATTATCCATACCTCTTAATTTCTTTTTTCACTTCTTTGTCCTCCTTTTTTTAATCTGCCCTTTGAATAATATCTTCAGATCTATCTTCTAGTTCACTAATTTTCTCTTCATCACTCAGTAAACTACTATATATATGTATATTTATGTGTATATTTCACAATTCACCCAATTAAAGTCTATAATTTAAAAAATTGAAGTCTGAAATTCAATGATTTTTAGTATATTCACAAAGTTGTGCAACCATCAATTTTAGAATCTTTTCATCACCCCTGAAGTAACCCTGTACCCATCAACAGTCATTCCCTATTTCCCCCAATCCTCCCACACTTGCCCTCAGCAACCGCTAACCTACTTTATGTCTCAACAGATTTGCCTCATCTGGACATTCACCTAAATGGAATCCTACACTGTTATCTTTTGTGACTGGCATCTTTCAGTTAGTGTAATTCTAAACTGCCATATAAGCCATCTGTTGAATTCTTCACCTCAACAATTTTTTAAAATTTCTATAAGCTCTCTTACTCCCTTTTTCAATTTACCTGATCTTTTGATAGTCTTTTTCCCCCCTGATAGTCTCATTTTTGTGATTCCGTCTTTACTTCTTTAAGTATTTCACAGACAGTTATGCTATTTTATGATGATGTCTAGCAGAATGATTTAGCATCTCACGTTCTTGAGATTCTAAATCTGCTTCTACTGATTTTTACTCAAAGCTGTCTGTTTCTTTATGTATTTGGTAATATCTGGATGGAAACTACTGTTTAGCTGATCTCAGTTTGTGGAGAATCTGAGGTTTTAAATCTTCAAGAGAAGTTGCCTAGGCTTCTGCTGGGAGCTGTGGCGCTAGAAACCACAGGATCCCCTTCAAAGGGTCTAGCTTACAGTTTAAGTCTTGGTTTCATCTCAAGCTGAATGCTGATAATGGTGTTCCCCCGCCCCCCACTGCCTTTTGTGTCTCCCCTTCAGGTGGCAGCCCTTCCTATGTGTGATGTATACATGCACATGATGTCATGTATGCAAGCTTTCCTGGAAAGCATCGTACTGCATGCCCAGCAATGCACAGAAGTTCTGTCCTATCTAGTTTATCTACAGGGGAAGGGCTCCTCAGAGCACCTAGTTTGCCATCCTATTTCTGCTGCCTGGAAGCCCCTAGCCTGCTTCTGTTTCTGCCCTGCTTCTCTGGCTTTATTGGTCAACCTTGAGTTTCCCAAATAATCTTCTCTATCATTCCATTTCCTGTGTGACTCTCCAAACTCAGAATCTATTGGCTCACAGCTGATTAGACTGACTGATAGAATAGCTTCCTGGTAATAAGGATGATATCTGTGAGCACCAGCAGTGTGCCCTGACCCATCCCAAGGTTTTTTTGTTTTTGTTTTTTAAAGATTTTATTTATTTGAGAGACAGAGCATGAGTGGGGGCAGAGGCAGAGGGAGAGGGAGAAGCAGACTCCCTGCTGAGCAAGGAGCCCAACGTGGGGCTCGATCCCAGGACCCTGAGATCATGACCTATGCCAAAGGCAGATGTTTAACCCACTGAGCCACCCAGGTGCCCCCATTCCAAGGGTTTTACATGTGTTAATTCCCATAGTCATAACAACCATCCCACTTTGCAGATAAGGAAACGGAGGTAGAGAAAAGCTGGGGGGCTTGTTTTAGGTCCCACAGGTTGCAGTTGTTGGAGCTGGAAGGCAAACTCAGGCAGCCTGGCTTGTTTCCCTTTTTCATGACGGCAGAAAGAAATAGAAGGGCTCAGGGCCATCCAACATTCAGCAGAAAAAGCCCTGTTTTTCGAGGAAAAGGCTACAGACACCTGGGAGCTCACGAAAGCCCTGACCTGGCCTTTCTGGTATGTTGTGTACCGCAGTGAGACTTGGCAGTGAGTCTGGGGTTCTCTGAGCTTTTTTTCTGGCTGGAAAAAAAAAACCCAGCAACAACAAAACAACCCAAATTCTAACTCAAGAGTCATGAGTTTCCCTGATTGCATCTGTGCAGATAGTCTAGAAAAGCAATACTACAGTGACAGCAAACCTGTGATTCAAGCAGCTTTGTGGCATTTTCAGCTAGACTGGGGAACCCTGAGAATACACTCAAGACCCTACCTTTGACTTGATCCAATAGAGGCAGGAAACTGACGGTCAAGTGTGAAACAACAGCCAGCTGTGTTCTAAGCCATTAAGTGACACCCAACGTGGGACTGGTAGGAGGCATTTGCTTCAAGGAGGAGAGGTGGTCCCCTCTAGTCATGAGACCCTGACCCCTCCTCATCCCGTCCCAGGACGTGCTTTCTCCTGGTTGGCTACTTCCTTAAAAATAAAAGTGTGTCCTCATATGAGTGAAATCATATGATATTAGGACACACCTTTATTACTCATATGTAGAATTTAAGAAACAAAACAGAGGAACATAGAGGAAGGGAAGGAAAAATAAAATAAGATGAAAACAGAGAGGGAGACAAACCATAAGAGACTCTTAACTCTAGGCAACAAACAGAGGGTTGCCGGAGGGGATGGGGGTGGGGGCCTGGGGTAACTGGGTGATGGGCCTTAAGGAGGGCACTTGATGGAATGAGCACTGGGTGTTATATGCAACTGATGAATTACTGGATTCTACCTCTGAAACTAATAATACACTGTATATTAATGAATTTGAATTTAAATAATAAAAAAGGCATGTCCTTTATAATAGCAACCACTATTAAGCACTTACCTTGTGCCAGGTGCTGTAAAAAGCTGTTTTTACAGACTTCCATGTTTACTTGTTTTACATGCTTGTCTCTTTTACTCTTCCTCTGTAACATCCGCACTATTATCCACCCACTTCATGCATAAGGAAACTGAGGCTGGGGGAAATGACTTTCCCAAGGTCCCAGGGTCAGAAAGGGGTGGGGGTCATGGGAACCTAGCTCTTGGGGCAGCAGAGCCTGCTTTCGGGCACTCCCCGTCCTCCCCAGGAGTGTCCCCACAATCTCTTCTTTACCACACAGCCAGAAGGGCCACCTGGGGGCAGGCTAGGCACAACCCAAGGACCAAAGGCTAGTCCTTCTGCCAGGGTCCTGAGTATTTGTCTTCTCCCCTCTGATGTGGACCTGGCTACCAAGGGGCCTTGCACACTGGGTTTCTCAGCCACAGGAGGAATCGGTGGGGCCCTGAGCTGCAGGGTCTGGGCCTAGTGGGAGTTTACCTTTACTGCTTCCCAGCTGGAATTCACCAGGTACTGCCGGAAGGGTCCAAAACCTGAAGCCAAAGAGACCCTGGTTAGCTCAGGTCAGGCTTAGTTGGGTCTCTACACCTGGGCTGCTCCCCAAATTCCCATGGGAGCTTCCTGATGCTCCCAGGGCCATGGGGGGCTCCGAGCACTCCACACACGCCCCTTCTTGAAGAATGCAACCTCACTGATCTGGGAGCATTTTCAGAGTTCTCTGTGGCAGGCATTGTGGGGCAGCCAAAAAGGAACGAGCTGCTGACCCACCCCCAAGCTAGGAAGGCTTGAGAAAGTGCACAAGTGTCTGGTTAAAATGCATGCTTTGTTAAGAGCCTAGAAACACACCCGTGTGAATATGCCCAGTCGTTTGCTAGGAGAGGTGCAAAGTCAATTCAGTGGAGGAGGGTGGCCTTTTCAACAAATGGGGCTGGAACAACAGGATACCCAGAGGCAAAAACATGAATCCTCAACCTCAGTCTCGCACCTTGGACAAAAATTAACTCAAAGTGGATCATGGCCTTCAATGAAAAAAGGAAAACCATAAAACTTTTACGGGGGAAAAAGGGAGAAAATCTTGAGACCTACCCTTAGGCAAGTGCTTGACACCAAGAGCACACCATGATCTATGAAAGTAAACGTTAATAAACTGGACCCCACCCAAGTGCAACTTTTGCTGCACAAAAACGCCTTTTGAGAGAATGAAAAGAAAATTACGGACAGAAGGAAAAAAGAAAAAAACAGTTACAGACCACACATCTGATGAAGGCCTCGTATGTAGAATATATAAAGAACTCTCAAAACTCAACATTAAAAAAACAACCCAATTAGAAAGCTGGCAAAGTACACAAAGGGACATTTCACTGAAGATCTATGTACAGACAGCAAACAAGCATAGCAGGGGATGTCTGACATCACTCACCAGCAGGGAAACATGAATTAAAACCACGATGAGATATTATCACACTTCTAGAAGAGCGGCTAAAATAGAAATACCGATAACCCCAAAAGCTGACAAGGATGAGGAGAAACTGGCTCATACCCATTGCTTAGTGGGAATGTAAAACGGTACTGCCACTCTGGGAAACAGTTTGCCAGATCCTTTTAAAACTGAAAGTGGACTTCCCACCACACGCACTCCTGGCTATTTATCCCAGAGAAATGAAGACTAGTTTTCAAGCAGAAACTTGTACACACATGTTCACAGCAGCTTTACTTGTAATAACCCAAAGCTGGAAACTACTCAAATGTCCTTCAAGAGGTGAACAATGAAGCAAGAATTCCAGATCATGCAATACTACTACTCAGCAGTGAAAAGAAAAAAGTAGAAACCACACAAATGTGTGCATCAACTGATGAATGGGTAAACAAAATGTGCGATCCATATAATGGGGGATATTATTTGTCGATAAAAGGAAGTGAAGTACTAATACATGGTACAACATGGCTGAGCTTTGAAAATATTATGCTAAGTGAAAGAAGCCAGTCACAAAGGACCACGTAGTGTATGGCCCCATTTATACGACATATCAAAAATTGGCAATCTAGAGAGACAGAAAATAGGTTAGTGGTTAGTAGATTTGGAGTGGGGGGCGTGCTGGGAGTGTGATGTGGGAAAAAAAGACAAAAGAAAAATTAAATTTCCTTACTACCTACAGCCCACTGACAAGTCCTTGAAACAGGCAGAGTGACATTCCTCTAGGAGCTCAGCTGCCTCAATGTTAATACTTTGCTAAGGGCGAAAGGCAATCTTAGCCTGACTCCTAGGATCCTGTAAGTCTTTAACATATAAAAATTCCTTTGGAAACTTCATTTATCTCTACTCCCCAAGATACATGTTGGCAGTCATCCCCCAAGCATATGGCCCACCGATATACATCTGAAGGGTCTCATAACTAAGGTTTTATTAGATGGTAATAAATGGCCTTTTCCCAACAATAGCTAGCCCCCTCAAGGTCCTGGAAACCTTGCTTCCAAAATTCCTTAGACAATTATGCCATCCCTAACCCTCTCCCAACTTGAAAGTATATGATGGGCCACTCCTCATGACCCCATTGCAGCTCCTTCTGCCCAGGGGTCCTGTCCCCATGCTTTAATAAAACCACCTTTTTGCACCAAAGATGTCTCAAGAATTCTTTCTTGGTCGTCGGCTCTGAACCCTAACATCTTTCCGACATCAGGGTGGATTAGGGAGTTATAACTAAGGGGCTCGGGATTTCTTTTCGAGGTAATTCAAATATTCTCAAATTGGTTGTGTGATGAATGCATAACTCTATGAATATACTAAAAGCCATCGAACTGTCCATTTTATTTATTTTAGGGTTTTTTTTAAGATTTTATTTTTAAGTAATCTCTATACCCAACATGCAGCTCAAGCTCACAACCCCGAGATAAAGAGTCACACACTCCACTGACTGAGCCACACATGAAAACTGTCCGTCTTAAGTGAATTGTGAATTTTATCTCAATAAAGCTGTTTAAAAAAAAAAAAAGGAACCACTGATACATACAACAGCTTGGATGAACCTCAAAGGAAATATGCTGAGTGAAAACAAGCCAGTCTCAAAACGATACATACTACATGATGCCGTTTATACAATATTTGTAAAATAACATCATTATAGAGGTGCAGAACAGCTTAATGGTGGTCAGGAGTTAGAGGTGGGGGAAGTGGCTTGTTTTCAACTCAGATATCTAGACACCCTGTGGCCCAGTCAAGGTGACACCTAAAATTAACCATCAAAAGATGGTGTAGGAGTGACCACACCCATGGGACCTCTTATTTTACCTCTCCTTCAGAGTGGCCCTTGCTCAGAGCTCCCGGGCCACCCCCCACCCCTGCCCCCGTAGGGGAGGCCAGTGGCTGCCAGGAGCTCAGGCTTTTAGAGGAGGAGCCAGTCCTAGAAAGGATGGTGCCTTTGAAGTTCTGAGCCTCTGAGTCTAGAACCGCTAACAAGCGTGGCTCACAAGGGGTCAATCTTTCTCAGGCAATACAAAATTTTGGACAGGATGTCCTGACACCAGGAAGCCGATGGTGTCCTCTTGACACTGACTCCTATAGAATAAGACTGTAGCTGCCACTGGGGGCAGCCAGAAAACAAAACAAAACAACAACTTTAGAAAATATTGAGATTCAGAAAAAATCACTGAGAAACCAGGTCCCTCAGACTAAAATCACAGCGCCACACACACACAAAAATCACATTCTGCTTTAGAATCATATTCAGATCAAAACAGTCAGATCATCTCTTATCTGTTTTTAATTAGGAAAAACAACTCAGCAAGTACAGGTTTGAAGCTCTTGTTTTGTAGGGTCACATCTTACACTTTAGACTTGGCAGGCCCTCAGGGTGAAATCTGCATAAGGCTAGAGGAACCTTCTCACAATCAAGGGAGGCCCTTTGGAGGGATGCAGGTTTTCTCAGCCTCCCACTATTCTTGTTGGTGCCAGTTGGAATGCCTTGAACCTGAGGCCGTTTGTCAGAGCCCTGTCCTCCCCCACCCCCATCAGTCTCTGTGCCAACTGTCTTGGCCAGATTTCCACGCAAATCCAATTACATGAAGAGACTACCCCTGGCAGTTCAAAGCATTTTTAATAAAGGAAGGCCACACTCTAGAAGCCAGTGGGCATTCCCAAATGGTGCCTGATGATCAGGTACTTCATCAAACAATCTAGAGTTTGCCAGCAAACCACAAGCTGACAGGCCAAGCGGCAGGGGTCCACGTGAGTCGAAGACATGCCAACTGGGCTTCAATATTCATATTTCATTTGTGACAAGCATTGCATTCATCAGGGGTACAGTTTCCTTAGCAATTCAAGAATATTTTGAACCACTCAATCTCTATACCCCAAATAACACAAATGAGAACAAGGGAGATAAAAGGTTTTCAAAAGAATTTTCTTTACCTCAGAAGGTTAACAGGAGTTTGATTACAGCCTGAAAATATTGAGATAGTTACGTTTCGATTTTCCATGTCCATAGGACTCCTTGTCTCCTGTTTCCTTCATTTCACACAATTCAAAAAACTTAAAATATGCCAGAAGTGTCTAACTAGAAAGAAGGAACTTTGTAAAGAAATCAAACCCTCTGGGACCAGCTGTGACAATGACTGGGGGTGGCAGGGGTTGATTTGGGATGAGCTGGAGAAAGGTAGGAGTGGGTGGCTACCATTCACTCTAAGTTGATCTTTTGGGGTTCAGAGTCTCCAATTGGAGGCTCTCCAGTGGTGTTCAGGGCTTTCTGAGTGGCTGAAAGCTCTTCAGCCTGTGTGTTGGGGGCTGTGTTCTCCTTTGGGGGTGGTTCTTGTAGATGGACCGCTGTCCAAGCCTTACAAGGCCCCATCCTTTCTGGATCCCCAGCTCCCACTGCCTTGCTATGGAGCTGTACCCCAGGGGATGCCACATGGACCCACTGGGCCCCAGACTCAGGGACAGCAGGTGCCAGCCTCGGATTCCTCCCCAGCTGGGCGGACGGACAAGGTCTAAGCCTGAGCCACATGCAAGCACCTTTGAATTGAAGGAGAGGAGCAGAGTGGAAAAGCCTCTCTGTCCGCTGTTTTTCAGTAGGGCATAGCAAGAAGTGATAGGCAAGCTTCCATCTGGAATTATTGGCACCACCAGTTGCCCCTCCTTTTTCCCCCGAGAGGGAACCCTTTATGAGCAGATCAGGCAAGTGCACATTCCGCGGTCAGGCTAAAAGCGCAAATGGGAAAGCAGAAAAAGTCTTACCAGTCACTACCACGCAGCTGGGCTGGGAATCCATGAAACCCAAGCGGAGAGCGTGTATCTGTGCCTCTGGGTGTCAGATGGCCGTGGCTCCGCCCAGGGCACGGGGCACTCCGACCACTGGGCGCCGCCCCCATCCCCCCGGTGGCTGCCAGCCTCAGGCTCCTCTCGGGGGCGCCCAGCCTTGTGCCTCCCCGCCCCGCAAAGGCTGAAGACTCCTGGGTGTGGGGTAGGGCGGTAAGAAAGCGGAAATAGCCAGTCCGGGGCTCAGAGGCTTTGGGCAACAGACAAACAGAGGGTTGGAGCACCATCCGGGACTTTCTGGACCCTTGGGGTCGGGGTTAGGTTGTTGCTGGGTATGGGTCAAAGGTGAGCCGTGAGTTTGGTGATCAACTGTCCCGGTTTGCCTGGGACTGAGGGGTTTCTGGGATTGGGACGGGGCGGGGGGCGGGGTACAAAAATGTGCTGTAACCCATAGAGTCCCAGGCAAATCAGGTTGGTGGGTGCCCCTACAATCTGTTTGTTTAGATTTTGTTTCCTCTCTTTAGTAATCTTCCTCCTTCCCTCCCCCCGGAGCCCCTCATTGTGATTGGCTATGATGACTTCGTGAAATTTGGTTGCTCTTGAAACTGATTGTGCAAAATATGTTAAAAAAAAAAAAAAGGAAAAAGAAAACCAAAACCACAGATGAAGCTTATGGTAACAATGCTGGTTGAAAGCACATGTCATCTATAAGCTGTAGGTGCTCAGACAAGTTCACCTCTCTGTGCCCTGTCTCCCCTTTCTGTGAAACGGACGGGATCACAGCACCCCCCTTCCTGAATGGAGCCCTCCTGAGCCTAGGGGGCATTGTCCTCAGCCCCTACAGCCCTGGGGGTGGGGGGTGGGGGGCGGGCTCACCTGGCCAGCAAAATCTACTTTTTTTTTTTTTTTTGGCTTCTCAGACTGTGCCCTCCCCACACCACATCCTGCCTGCCATGAGTGCTTAATGCCGTGCTGGACCACGCACCACTAAACGTTAGTCACTGCCCCATGGGGGCCTTCCACCTGGCTCTGTAGACATTCCTCCGCCTTCTTAATTGTGGCAGAGTAACTAAAGCTACCATTTGGGGCTAGTTTCTCTATCGAAGAAGTCATGTTATGCAACATCTTGACCTTTCAGAATATATTATATATATATAGTTTTATAGATATAGTTTTTATGTAGTTTCATATATAAAAGTTTTATAGTTTTTATATTTAAACTTTTATATATAACTTTTATACATAAAAGTTTTATATATATACATATATAAATATGTATATATATACACATGTGTATATATATATATATAGTTTTTTAGCTAAAAATACTTTTTTTAGAAAGCTAATAGAAGGTGGGGAGCCTGGATGGCTCAGTTGGTTAAGCTTTTGACTCTTTCCTTTTTTAATTTATTAATTTATTTGAGAGAGAGAGAGAAAGCGTGCACAAGCAGGGGGAGGGGTAGAGGGAGAGGGAGAAGCAGACTCCCCGCTGAGCTGGGACCCCAATGGGGGCTTGATCCCAGGACCTCAGGATCATGACCTGAGCCAAAGGCAGACTGAGCCACCCAGGCACCTCTGAGCATCCAACTCTAGAATTCGGCTCAGGTCATGATCTCAGGGTCCTGGGATCGAGCCCTATGTGGGACTCCCCACTCAGCGGGGGAGTCTGCTTGAGATTCTCTCTCTTCCTCTCTCTCTACCCCTCCTCCTGCTCTCGCTCTCTCTCAAATAAGTAAATAAAATCTTAAAAAAAAAAAAGCTGTCTAATAGGACGCACAAAAAACCATTCTCTTTCCCCATCTGGGCATGGCCATGAGAAGCTCTAGCCCAGGGAGACTGACAGAGCTCCTCCAGGTCCCAGTGTTTCCCCAAGTTCAGAGTGCCTTGTATTAGAGGGTGTGGCCATGTGGTTCCATCTTCTTAATTGGCCCCCTGATAGAAAAAAACTATACCACTCCCTTTAACTGGGATCACTGCCAAGGACTAGACTCCACCTGATGCCTTCCTGGGACGCTGAACCAACGGCCATTCCTTTTAATTGGCTCCTGGTGTGGGCTGCAGGCTTCTTTACAGTGGAGAGCAGGTGGGAAGTGGCATTTGCCCCCAGTGGCCTTCCCCTGCCTGCTCTGGGAGGCTGGGGCCACCTTGTTTTTGCAGGGATGCAGAAGGCATTGCATTACACCTTATTTTGAGATTAAAGTAGACAATACAGAAATCCAAGTTTGAAAGCAATTACCCCGTCTTTCTCATACTCCCTCAGGCATTGTGGATGTTATATCAACTCCCCACTTTGGTGAGTGGCTCCCCTGGTTCAAGTTCATGTCACTTACTTAGCCCTTCTGTCCGGAGGGTTTTGCTTGCCCATCACAGTCCTAAACAAATTAGGCCACTGGAAATGCCGGCATTTGTCGAGTTGGTTGCTGCTACCGTCAAACCCTGCTATCCACACTAGTGAGATCTGGGTAACTAACTTGTGTTTACTTATCACACCTGGAGACGTATCACACCTGGAAACAGACTTAACTGTTCAGACCACCAGTTGTTAACAACGCTACTTTTCTGATAACGACACAATTTCTATTTTTAGTTTTTTCAGGGTTTGACATAAGCCGTTCTTCTTTTAACTTAAACTAGAATGTGTCCTGGAATTTTCACTTGCCCATAATTCACTTATTTTTCTTAGGTTCTAAACTTTTCCCTAACTTTGCAATTAATAAAAAAGAAAGGGAGAGATGTAAAATATTTTTACTTAGCAAAAGTGACATGTGTCTCTGATTGTATTCAGCCCCACCTGGAAAAAAAAACCCCACACATTCTCATTCTCTAAAATGAAAACAACTCAGAGAAGTATGGATTTTGAGGTCTGACATCTGCACTTTTATTTCTTTTTCCATTGTAAAAACAAATGGTCTCTAACAATTGCTGATGTCAAACACAATCTTCAGGCCCGTGAAACACAGTAAGCCTGAGAACGAATAAGGCAACTAAAGAGAGATGTTTTATTTAACAAAAAAGCACAGTGATCTTCCTTATGAGTTAGATTCCCAAGAGGAAAATATTTGTAATCATGTTTGACTCTGGGATTAAGAGGGCAAGGTGCGACCCTCTCTCAGTGAACTGAAAAGCAAGCAACAGTACACACGTGTTCTCACCAGGGACGACAAATGTGGGCTGCCAAGATTGTAATATCCCAAGACCTAAATATTTCGAGTTTTGAACCAAACATAAAACTTTGTGGGATTTGTTTTAAATTTATCATTGGCAAGTTGTGACTTCCTGCTTAAGCAAGAAAAAGGATTAAAACGGTTTGTTTATTTGTCTCTGACATGAACAACTCTTACAACACATTTTTTACACGTGACATAAATGAAATTTAATCAACCTGGTCAAACTGCTCTTGGGAGGTGGGGAGAATAAATCAATCATCAAGACACACTTGCAATTAAATAATAATAGTAATAAGTCTCCTCTATGTCAAACATCTTTGCTTCCAGCTCAGCTACTCATGTCTATCATAAAATATAAAACTCACACCCAAACTGCCTCTTGTCAAAGCATTGACTGAACCCCGAAAAATGTCACTCTTCCAAGGTAGTCTTTGGGATTCCCTCAACCCCATTCCTTTGCTTTTCCAGCTTAACTGTTCAAAAGGGGCCAAAACACAGTCTCTGTAAAGAGCTTCAAGTAACCATAGCGGGCCACAGGGTCTCTGTTGCAACTGTTCAGCTCCGCCCTTGTAGCTTTCAAAGCAGTGTGGATAATATGCAAATGAGGGGGCGTGGCTGTGTTCCAATAACTATGAATTTTGAGTACATATACTGCCCACGTGTCACACACCATTACTCTTTTGATTTCTTTTTTTTTTAAAGATTTTATTTATTTGCGAGAGAGAGAATGAGAGACAGAGAGCATGAGAGGGAGGAGGGTCAGAGGGAGAAGCAGACTCCCCGCTGAGCAGGGAGCCCGACGTGGGACTTGATCCCGGGACTCCAGGATCATGACCTGAGCCGAAGGCAGTCGCTTAACCAACTGAGCCACCCAGGCGCCCTACTCTGTTGATTTCTTAAACTATTTACAAATGTAAAAACTATTTTTAGCTCACAGGCTGTACAAAAAATAGGCGGAGGGCTGATTTGGGGCGTCGGCTGTAATTTGCCAGACCCTGAGCTAGAATACAATGTTTCTTCCATAGGAAGCAGGATATGTTGATGATAAAGTGACCTTATGGGATACGGGAACACATTCCTAGTTAAATGAGTAACGAGATTTGGTTAAAATCAAAATGAGGATTGGTGGGGGTGCAGAGCAAGATGG